ACAACGAGCTGATCAATAAGTAGATTAGTACCCACTAGGGAGGGATGGGATATCTCCTTCATTGTTGCACGAGCATACATCCACGGAGACTGGTATTGGATCGCCGCCCCACCACTTCTTCTTTCGCTGAGAACACACAGTGGCGCACAAGCTGGGCATCCTTACTCGCAACGTAAGTAGATGCAGCCAAAACCTCACAATGTATGCTGTACTTTACGCTGCGGCAGTCGAAGAGCCGCAGCCTTATCCGTTCAAAGCGTAGTAGTGCCACTATGAGCGGGAAATGTAGACCCGCCGGGGCGGCGGCAAGACGTCCTTAATCCCCAAACATGTGCTCGAAACCCTGCCGAGGAGTGGCTGCACTGTCATCACGTTTCCTCACTTCTCGCTGAGCCCGCTCTTGCTCCATCTGTTCCCTAGTGGTAGCATTTCCTTGAACATGAGTCGCAACGGATCTACCCAGCAAAATAGCAGCGGCAACCAGCGGATGAGTCTACGACAGCCACCGAAGACGCCCTGACGCTAGTTAGTGGGAAATAATGGACGCAGCCTAGACGACGCTTTCTTGTGCTTGTGTGACTTCTTCTTCTGCTCCGTCCAGTGTTGTTCCGTTTGTCCACGGTAACAGGACAGGCTCAGCCTCCCCCATCGCGGAAATCGTATCGGTTGGGGGCAGAAACGGCAGCGTTGTGGCACACGCCGCTGCAGAGTCTGCAGCGAGGACAACTTATCATGTTTCCTCATCGTCAGTACAGTCAACAGGCAAAAACAGGCCTTCGCAGTGGACAAAAACCAATGCATTGCATATTCCAGTACCAAGGTTCCCTCGATGTATGGCACACAACCGCGAACACTGAAACACGTTTTGATGCCCACCGTCCCCGAGATCACCGCAGCATGCATCCAGCAGTGTCGCGGGCCACTGTCACCGCCCTCACCATAAAAATCACACCGGCGAACAACTAACTGGCAGTGGGTTTATAAACGCACCTGTGGCGCTGCAGAATACCCTGGCACTGGTCCGTACAACAAAAGAAGAGAACAGTAGATGACGCGGCTGTACGAAAGGACGCCAGTACATATGCATCTGAGTCATTAAATTTATTGCCTTCAGGCCGAGCATAAAAGTCAACTGAGCCGACGGGCTCAATCTTCCAGCCCAGATTTCCTGTCTAGACTTCCGACCTCCCTAGAAAACATTGAATAGTTAAAACCCGCGCAGTGGATAGCTGCGGTTCAAAATACACCCGGTAGGCAGACACCCACAAACATCTTCAAGACGTTTATACTGGGACATTTTTTCTCTTTTTTCCGGAGGTCCACTCAATTATCGATTTGTACGTTTGTCGGATAGAGACGGATGTCCGGTACCGCAGTCTGCCTGCTCTGTCCCACTAACTTTGGTCAGCGCTACTCCGTCGTGGAGCAAGAGAGCCGGCACTGTCGAAAATCACGGACCATCCCTATATTCTGTGTCATCCTGTCTCCACGGATCCCACGCGTCTCGAAGGAACGCCCGCGGAGAGAACTTCATGCAAAACAACTTGCGGTGGAGAGCGATTATTTCGTCATCTGAAGGCGAAGATCCACTCTTGTACAATTCCAACGCTGCGCTTAGCTGGTACGACAACTCGACCTGGAACATATGCTTATTGCTGTATGCACCAGTGAAGCGGTTACTGTATGCTGTTGGAATGCTCGCTACAAGAGTGTGCCACAATTCTCTCAAACGCGGTTTTTCGTCTCCTACGAGTTTCAAGACTGTATGAAATGCTTTGAAAACCAAGAACCGACGTCCCAACGTATCTGCAGCCGTGGATGCCTTCACGTCGACAAGCGGGGTAGTCATAGATATCAGAGCGCGCCGAGCTAAGTTAATAGCGGCACCGACCAATTCATTTGTGTCTCTAAGGTCGAGGGCTGGCTTTAGGCACAAGTTTCTCACAGTTCTAAGCAGGTAAACCATGGCTTCCGTTGCTGTCCAGGAATCCGGAATCTCTTCCTGCACGTCCGCCACCCGTACCCATGGCATTAACGTGGGCATCCGGACAAAGGGATGCCTACTTTTCGACTCGGCTGACGGCCCTGGTGCCACTACCTCCATGAGAGCTGATCGTCGCGTTGACGCTTCATTATCGCGTTGTGACAAAGGTCCCGCTGAGGCCAATGAATCGCTTTGAGAAGCAGAAGTTGAAGCCAGTGAACCGCTTTGAGCCGCATAAGCTAAGGCCAGTGAACCACTTTGGGTCGCAGGCACCGATACTCTCTGGGACGCCGAAGCTTGTGTGGAGTCTTCGATGGACAATACACTAACAATACTGCTTCCTGTAGGCAGTGCAGACGATGCCACTGGAGGGATAGTAGGTGGCTGCAGTGTTACCCGCTGTCCCATGAGCTGTCCTATGTGTTGCGCTTGCTGTGCTCCTTGGAGAACCAACGCAGGAGTTGCTAGCCCTGGCTGAGGAGCAAATGTAGCAGGTACAGATGGATGCCACAAATATGGGGAATGTGCATAGAGACTGCCTGGCGTTTGTTGAACAGCCTCGGGGAGTTGATGCACAGCACTTCTCGGACCTTCGGCACCTGCCACTACCGAGCTACCATGCGCAAGCCAACCGGACTTCTTAGGACTCGGCTCCCATCCATCCGAATCTCCCTGTGGAAAAATTCTGCGTCTACGTTGCGTCGACCCGACCGCTTGGTGCTGCTGCTCACTTGACGACGCCCCAAACAAATCTCCTGGCGTCCTGATAGTCTGCAAACTGTGTTCGCCCCTATGTCCCCTCGACGTTGAAGCTACCTCTGGCATACGAAGCGGAGGGGTTGAAGCGCTCTGAGGGGCAGCCGAAGGC